CCCCGCCTCAGTCCATTCCTTGTGAAGTTCACTCAAATTCTTGCATCGATTTTGCTTGACAATCCTCATAATGCTGCGGTTCTCTCGGTTGGTTGTGCGTCTTTTTCTTCCACACTTTTTCCTTCCACTCAACTTTGTTAACATGCTTGGATACAGCACTCTGTGAACAGCCAGCTTCTTTGGCAATGAATGTTTGTGGCTTACCCTCCTTGTGAAGGGCGTCAATGATTGTCTTCTGGACAACTGTCAGATCAGCAGTCTTCCCCATGATTGTGTAGCCTAGTGAACCAAACTGAGAGACCATTCTGAAGGCTCAGGAAACCTTTGCAGGTGTTTTGAGTTGATTAGCTGATTGGCATGTCACCATATTCTAATTTGTTGAGATAGTGAATTGGTGGGTTTTTGTTAAATGTGAGCCAAAATCATCACAATTAAAAGAACCAAAGACTTGAACTACTTCAGTCTGTGTGCATTGAATTTATTTAATACACGAGTTTCACAATTTCAGTTGAATTACTGAAATAAATGAACTTTTCCACGACATTCTAAATTTATTGAGATGCACCTGTATGTCACGTAACGGCACATTTACCTCAGAAAAAAACATATTCGGTGACCATAAACTCGGCTAGAAAAACGAACTCTAGAGGAGCATTTCGCTAAATATATGTACCATATAACATTCATTATAATTTTTACTGTTCTTCAATATTTAATTTATCTTTAATAAATCCGTTAAGTTATGAAATATTAAATGTTTATTTTTCAAAAAACGAATTGGAGTAGAAATATAATTATGTAAATGTAAAGTTAGTATTATAATTATTATTATTATTATAAAAACCTTTTTAATTTTAATTTAAGCATTTTTTATACAAATCAGTTCATTTTAATCTTCAATATTATAGTAATGTAGTACCAACTGACTATCATGTATATTTTATAGTTGAGAGATTTTTTTCCTTGAGAAAATTTCCCATTTACTGTACCTGATATATATACAAAATAATCTATTTTGAATCAGAATTTAATCGAATCAAGCGTGTTAATCGAAATCGAATTGAATCGTGGAAATTGGTGTCAATACCCAGCCCTAGTAAACAGCCTGGTCATGCCTACACAAAAAGAAAATTTGCAAAAATGTTTCATTCAGGATTGGGTTGACTTCATTTAACTTCTTATTAACACAGTTGTCCCATTCCATTTGCCAGTTTTGGTATATATACATAAGTTTAGTACAGGTTTGACATCTGATGAAGGAATTTGGCATTCTGTAATTCTCAAGAGTGCTATTTAGTGTAAAAAATAACAACTTTACACGCATATAGTATGGACTTAAATTGATTTTGTTATGGGTTAAACATAACAGTTTTAAGACGTATGTAAATCAATTCATGCAATTTTTCATTATAAAGTACTCCAGGGTCCTTATTTATGATGCTTACACATCACTGCATTACAAAGTCATGCACCTCTTAACAACTACTTTCAATGCAGGTCATGCTGCACAATACGACTTCAGTAGGTGTGACAACAGGTCAGCATCTCTACACACTAGGCCTGAGTCAGCAATACACACCCAGCCAGCAGAACACAGCAGGGTCAATGGCCTAAACCAAACACTCCATACACTAGGGGATTTGTCATTTGCACATCTTTTAATAGTGTTTGCCCTCCATAGCTCTGTGCTTTAGAAATTCCCCCCTTAACCATCAGCAAATTCAGTGACCTACAGAATCAGGATTCAATGGGTGTTTGCTCACCTGAAAAACAAAGGACAAAACACCCTTTCCAGGGAGGTAGTAGATGAATAAGGCATGGATAAGGCATGGGGCACAATGCGTCTAAACACCACTAAAAGCTGTATGCTCCCCATCTATCCACACACTCTATTCCCTTTATTCCTTGTTATTAATATAGAGGGCTGATGTTTTTTTTGTTTTGTTCTTTAAATAGAGAACATCAGAAGCGAGGAATTGAGACAAACACACATTAATAGTTCTCACATGGACAGTATCAACTAACCCCTGTGCTGCACAGTCACTGTTATCATTACTGCTCTACTATGTCCCGTGTGTAAAAATAGATGCCCATGACAGGACACGGAGTACTTACGCTTTCTTTATATCGTCATGGGATGCATTTTTCATCACACCCAGGATCTTGTAATAATCCCCCATGGCTCAAGTTTTGGGTTTCCACTCCTCTGGATGAGGATAAATTTTCAGCAGTGGCCCTGGAAGAAAAAGAGAGTGAGAAATCTAGTTGAAGAAGACATAAAAGAGGGGACAACAAACAGAGGGTGTGTTTTGGTAGCTATGTGGGTGGGTGGCTACTGTGACGGACAACCTCGAAACACTCGACATGTGAAAGCATGTTCTACTTTACATTTCATCCATAAAAGCATTTATCAGATTCATGATTGTATTTATCCATATAACGTTTCAGTTTCCTATACTGTATTGTACTGTACACTGAATATCTTCTTATTGACATACTCTAGCCTTTTCTGGCTCAAGCTCAATAAAATAAAAACATGACAAATACAGTAAATAAATAAAATATTAACCAAAGCAGTTTACAGATGTTCTCACATTTACAGTATATTACTACACCTAACACCTACAAGCATAATTAAAACCGGTCAACTCGAAAAACATCTTATCACGAAGAACAAAATGTCAACTGCTTCCAAACAATCAGGGACCAAATGGCCAATTCCAGTAGCTTTCCAGCTGGATCTCATTGGTGTTATTTATATCTGCAGTGTACTACAATGCCGGCTGTTCTGACTCACGTGACTCAAGTACGTTTTTTTATATTTAAAGAGTTTTTATATTTAAAGTGAGTTTTTTGGGCAGTGTAGAGTAGGGCTTGTTGTTTGTCATTTACACCTTGTTGTTTGTCATACATACACCTTCGATAACGATATAAAAAAAATGTTCGATATAGTGCACGATATAGGCACGTGCTATGAGTGACGCAGACAGCACACATGAACATGAGTGCTGTGCCTGCCTGTGATGAGGAGATTGTGAATTGTGACGTTGTAGTATAATGTTTTGTTAGTCTAGCCCACGAGACACGCAGTTGCTGCGTTATTCAGTCAAAATATTAGAGAAATATAGTAGCTCAACGCATAGAAGATCTTGATTAGGTTAAAACCAAAACCAAGCCATCCACACAGATGTATATTCAGCGCATTTTCTAGACGGACAAATATGACTGATGCACTCGTGTCACACAAGAGATGTATAGAAAGCCATGCAAAGTTAAAACAGTTTAAACTTTTAGAAAACACGTCATGAATTTGTGGAGGTTTATTCCTTTTCACTGCGTCTCATATGTTTTTAAAGGCAATCTGTGTGATGGGTGATTCAGCTCTTTGTATTAAGCAATGCATAAATACGTGATGCGGTTTTGTTCATAATGGTTTATGCAATTTACAAAATTATATTTGATTTATAGGAGTTAATTTAGATGAAATGCAATTTTTTTTTTATATAGACGGTTATTTCCTTGCGTTGACAATTTAATGTGCTGCATTTTGCTCATTTTGCCTCCTGTGGCCTCGGGAAACAAGCCAAAAGTTTAACCTATTTAATCTGCATATAAAACATTAGAAATTAGATGTTTAATTTTTATTTTGTTTGACTGTTAAAACAAAAAGATATTTGTTGTTTGTCTCAATAAATTGAGTTCATTTAAAAACAGTGGTTACTAGTAAACATTTTTTTCTATTGCTCTTTGTTTTAAAAAAGGTTATTAAAAAAAAAAAGTGTCAATAATTATCGAAACCGAACAATACGAAACATTATATCGTTGATACATTTTTGAGCTATATCGCCCAGCCCTATGCTTTATTTTTAAGCAACACAGAACAGTAGTATTCGTTTCTTTTTTCTTTGATTTGTTTCTCAAATGTTTCCTGAATTGCGGGCTGTCACGTTTCAGTTTCCTATACTGTATTGTACTGTACACTGAATATCTTCTTATTGACATACTCTAGCCTTTTCTGGCTCAAGCTCAATAAAATAAAAACATGACAAATACAGTAAATAAATAAAATATTAACCAAAGCAGTTTACAGATGTTCTCACATTTACAGTATATTACTACACCTAACACCTACAAGCATAATTAAAACCGGTCAACTCGAAAAACATCTTATCACGAAGAACAAAATGTCAACTGCTTCCAAACAATCAGGGACCAAATGGCCAATTCCAGTAGCTTTCCAGCTGGATCTCATTGGTGTTATTTATATCTGCAGTGTCCTTCAGGACAGGCCCAGAGGTGATCATAGCACAGCACTGGCTTTTCTCTGCATTGTCCATGTAATAGCTGTAATAAACTATTTAGTTCACCCAAAAATAAAAATTTCCTGAAAACATATTTACTCTCATGCTGTCCAAGATGTAAATGAGTTTGTTTATTACAGATTTGGAGAAATGTATCATTACATCACTTGCTCACCAACAGTGTTGGGCAAGTTACTCAAAAAAAAAATGTAATCAAATTACTGATTACTCCTTTTAAAAGTAATCCGAGTCTTTCATCATTTCTACAATTCGTGTTATAATGAGAGGATTTGTGAGCACGCACATTTCAGCACTGCATTGCTCAACGCTGCAAACACGTGTTATAGCCTAAATAGAAATTCTGCATACGCTTGCACCTGTTAATCATTTATATTAGTTCATGTTGCTTTGTGCAATAGATGAATAACAATTTATTTGTTTTAGATATTTTGTGTTTAGATATTTCTATTTTGCGGGAGTCCCGTGAATCATTTTAATCTCCCGCATCCCGTGAGTGTCTATAGACTATAGTCTATAGTGTCTAGATTTCGAGTTGGCAACACCAGGGCCATCTAGCTGGCTAACGATAACGTCAGCATTTTCTCATCCTTTGACTGGATGGTCATCATACTAGCTAGCAAACAGCATCACTGTAAATCATTTTATTAAAACTTAGTAAAACTTTTATTACTGTTTCTCAGATTTAGATTTTCAGTGCATTTTGAAAAAATATTTGCCGACTATATTTAGTCAATCTAAAAAGAGTAGTCCTAAATGACTGCGAAAAACAACCACACACCTCCTCGGCACCGGCTCTGTGAAAGACACGTGAAGATGAAAAACCACTAGAGAATGGTAGGTTCATTTTCATTTTTGACTTTTTTTTAAATCGCTTGATGCGTTGTATTCTGATGTTATTTGCGCGATATAAAGCCAGGTTTAAGTTTCCGTAGGAGTACTTACGCTTTCTTTATATCGTCATGGGATGCATTTTTCATCACACCCAGGATCTTGTAATAATCCCCCATGGCTCAAGTTTTGGGTTTCCACTCCTCTGGATGAGGATAAATTTTCAGCAGTGGCCCTGGAAGAAAAAGAGAGTGAGAAATCTAGTTGAAGAAGACATAAAAGAGGGGACAACAAACAGAGGGTGTGTTTTGGTAGCTATGTGGGTGGGTGGCTACTGTGACGGACAACCTCGAAACACTCGACATGTGAAAGCATGTTCTACTTTACATTTCATCCATAAAAGCATTTATCAGATTCATGATTGTATTTATCCATATAACGTTTCAGTTTCCTATACTGTATTGTACTGTACACTGAATATCTTCTTATTGACATACTCTAGCCTTTTCTGGCTCAAGCTCAATAAAATAAAAACATGACAAATACAGTAAATAAATAAAATATTAACCAAAGCAGTTTACAGATGTTCTCACATTTACAGTATATTACTACACCTAACACCTACAAGCATAATTAAAACCGGTCAACTCGAAAAACATCTTATCACGAAGAACAAAATGTCAACTGCTTCCAAACAATCAGGGACCAAATGGCCAATTCCAGTAGCTTTCCAGCTGGATCTCATTGGTGTTATTTATATCTGCAGTGTCCTTCAGGACAGGCCCAGAGGTGATCATAGCACAGCACTGGCTTTTCTCTGCATTGTCCATGTAATAGCTGTAATAAACTATTTAGTTCACCCAAAAATAAAAATTTCCTGAAAACATATTTACTCTCATGCTGTCCAAGATGTAAATGAGTTTGTTTATTACAGATTTGGAGAAATGTATCATTACATCACTTGCTCACCAACAGTGTTGGGCAAGTTACTCAAAAAAAAAAAAAATGTAATCAAATTACTGATTACTCCTTTTAAAAGTAATCACGTTACTGTTCTGATTACTTTATTTCAAAAGTAATTAGTTACATTACTATTTACGTTACTTTTTCTCCATTAAATTCGTGAAATCTCAACATACATGCTCCCGATAAATATTTGTTATTAAAACATCAACATTCACAGAACACCGTTATTTTTAACTAAAGCAAGCGTCTGCTGCATGCATGGTTTGGCAAGGCAGAATGCCAGGAAAGAGCGCTGCATTTATAATCTCTAAAAGACATCTCAGTTCATCACAATCTCACAAATCTGTGTTATAACACAATAAATATATGCATAATGAGTCTTTCATCATTTCTACAATTCGTGTTATAATGAGAGGATTTGTGAGCACGCACATTTCAGCACTGCATTGCTCAACGCTGCAAACACGTGTTATAGCCTAAATAGAAATTCTGCATACGCTTGCACCTGTTAATCATTTATATTAGTTCATGTTGCTTTGTGCAATAGATGAATAACAATTTATTTGTTTTAGATATTTTGTGTTTAGATATTTCTATTTTGCGGGAGTCCCGTGAATCATTTTAATCTCCCCATCCCGTGAGTGTCTATAGACACTCATGTGTGTGCGGGATGTGGGAGAAAAAAAATAGTGGTGTGAAAAAGTTTTTGCCCCCTTCCTGTTTTTTTAATTGGCGTCTGTTAGCTTAAATCAATGGCAATGAAACCGTTGCTTTAACCAATCAGATTTCGAGTTGGCAGCACCAGGGCCATCTAGCTGGCTAACGATAACGTCAGCATTTTCTCGTCCTTTGATTGGATGGTCAGCATACTCGCTAGCAAACAGCATCACTGTAAATCATTTTATTAAAACTTAGTAAAACTTTTATTACTGTTTCTCAGGTTTAGATTTTCAGTGCATTTTGAAAAAATATTTGCCGACTATATTTAGTCAATCTAAAAAGAGTAGTCCTAAATGACTGCGAAAAACAACCACACACCTCCTCGGCACCGGCTCTGTGAAAGACACGTGAAGATGAAAAACCACTAGAGAATGGTAGGTTCATTTTCATTTTTGACTTTTTTTTAAATCGCTTGATGCGTTGTATTCTGATGTTATTTGCGCGATATAAAGCCAGGTTTAAGTTTCCGTAAGAATATCTCAGTTTCCCGAAAGGAGCTGTATTAACCGGTCTTTTCCTCCGGCCGCAGCGCTGCTGGCAGAGGCAGACCAGCGGGGAGATGAGAGTCACAGAGGTACGTTAAAACACATGTATACACTTTTCTTCATCGTCTTGTATGAATTATTTTAATGTTACTTGCTCACTTTCCTAGTAAAGCTGTCCTAACCAGTATTTTCCTCCCGCAGTGCGCTGGCAGACCGGCGGGGAGACTCGTGAAGACGAAATAAAGCAGTAAGAGAACATTAAATTGTTCACATCCTTCGGTCATCCTACACACAGCTGACTGACTGCTCACACCAACAGGATGGGGAGGGGTCATACACTTTCAGTCTTAGACAGAGACATGAAAAACAGCATACACCAGGAACGGCAACAGGTCAATAAGTGACATTTTCAAATCACGGTATATACCTTGAAACCGGTAATTGGCCTATGCCTATGGGGCAAAAGTTGTGTAGGCTAATGTATTCCAGTCTTAAAATACAACTTAATTTTATGTACAATAAAAAAATAACCCAGTCATGTAATGCTCTGTTTGCATTTATTTTCCTTTAACTGAATATAAGATAAAATCTTATATTTGTTCAAAAGAATAAGTCCATTGTTTAATGGCACTCCTAAAAGAGATAAATAATAGTTATCAAGGCTCATCCAGGCACTGAAAAACACATGACGGTATTGCTAATATTTAAACAATGAAGCTTAACCACAGAAGGATTATCTCATATCTGCAGGACCCAAGCATGCTCAAATTTCACAACAATGTTTGGCAATGTTTAGTCTGTAAAAACACCTACTGTACGAATGGCACACACACACACAAAGAAATAAAAAATAAACATTGAACTAGGGCTGTGCGATATTTAAGAAAAATGTGATATGCGATATTCGATATGCGATACGATAATGCTGTTGCCGAGTCTGTTCTGTGAACTTCTATAACTATCGGGTCATATATATATGGTTATTTGTATGCATGTATGTACCAAGAGTTCCTGTAAAACCACAACAAATTGTGTTTGCGCACACTTAAGTGGTGAATAAAGCTCATTCTGATTCTAATAAGAAAGCACCCCTACAACAACTTCTGAAAGTGAACGGTAGTGTTTTACTCGAGCATTACATAAAAATGTCATTTTAACATTAGTGTAATCATTTTAACATGATATTGCGATATGTACATTTGCGATATTTCGATAATTTCGATATATTGCACAGCCCTACATTGAACATTAATTAACCATTAAAACAATTTAAGTCTGAAATTCTGTTACTGCAAAAAAATAAAATAAAATCACAAAATAAGATTGTAATTTCTTTCCTTCTTTACAATTTGTGTGTTGATTTTAGGGTATAACCTGAAGAATACATTAATTAACCATTAAAACAATTTAAGTCTGAAATTCTGTTACTGCAAAAAAATTAAATAAAATCACAAAATAAGATTGTAATTTCTTTCCTTCTTTACAATTTGTGTGTTGATTTTAGGGTATAACCTGAAGAATGGACTTAAATTTGGAAACCTGTGTTAAGAGGAGAACACTAAAGCACAATCAAATTAGAAAACTTATTTACTAAAACAGAACAAAAGGACAGTAGATATGTAGAATTTTGTCAATGATTGATGGTCCAGCTTCTGCAGATGCAACTTTTTTTTGGGCTGGGTAACAGGACATAATCGTAATACTCACAATACACCCCCACTACTTCATCTGTTCTCTTTAACCACCACTTGATCATTAAGTGCTTTTATTTTAAACCACACCTTCTGCCCCACAGCCAACATTCCGGACTCACAGCTCCATTCAATCGGAGACGGCCTCTTCATGAAAACACACTTTTAAGAAACAGTCCTCTCTTCATAATTATCATCTTTCCTCTGCCCTATCTTCTTCCAAGTCTCTGTTGAACATTCCTTAGCTACTTGTCATGAAAAAGCAGTCAGGGCAAGCTCACAAATGTGTGAACAGATGAGCTTTGTTTTCTGGCTTCTCATAGTGGCACTAAGAGGAGGCTGTCAGCTCAGCTCAAAGCAGATCACTTGACTGCAATAACTTACGCCAAACCTGACCACACCTCAGCCAGTTTTTGTTAGTGGAAACTGGTTCAGTGGTTTGAAAGGCTAAATTAGACTTTTACATGTGAAAGGCAAAGAGATACAGAACAGGAACATCCCTAAAAATAAGCCAGTATGATAGGATGGGGATGTATACGAGTTTACAGGAATGCTTGGAGGAAAGATCAGATCAGCAGATTAAATAGCTGGGTTTGTTGGCCAGGTGTTGCTACTATAATTGCAATACAATCTGCCAGTGTGCCCATTTGCTTCCTTTTATTTTTCCTTCTATGAGAATTTAGGAAGAGCGATTATTTGAGTGAGCATGTGTTTGTCAATGTGATAGATAGTTGAGGCACTGCTATCTAGGACAATAGAAATCATTATTTGGCAAAGGTGTGACAGACTGAACCAGAGGACAGCTCAGAGGTTTATGCCCAACTGATTCAAGTTTCTGACTGCGTTACAAAGAAACTTAAGAAAATGATGTTTCTCTTTCTATCTTTGAACAAGTACAGTGACATTTGTTGTGTACATTTCTAGAATGAAGACACACTTCCTTAGTAGCTGGCTGGCAACCAAAGACTTTTTTCCAAGGGTAACTTGTTTGTCCAAAAGAGAGACTGTAGCACAAAAAGACATGAGTATACTTCCTGTAAAATCTGGTAATTTACATTTGATTTGACATTTGACCATTAAAATCTGTTTTTAAGTACTATGCAATAACTGCAGGCACTAAACCATTATGTTTAGGATAATACCTATGATTTAAAATAATACATTGTCTGTCAGCCACATCAAGCAACATACACTCTAAAAAATGCTGGGTTAAAAAGGGACAAACCCAGCTATTGGGTTAAAAAGGGACAAACCCAGCTATTGGGTTGTTTTGACCCAGCGGTTGGATTGCTTTGAACCCAACCGCTGGGTCAAAACAACCCAACCGCTGGGTCAAAACAACCCAACCGCTGGGTCAAAACAACCCAACCGCTGGGTCAAAACAACCCAATAGCTGGGTTTGTCCCTTTTTAACCCAGCGCTGGGTTATATTTAACACAGCATTTTTTAGAGTGTAGTTAATTGTTTTTACAGCTAAAATAACTAGAAGTTGTTGACTGGAAGCCATAAAAAGTTTCAAATAAACTCTGCCTCTTCTTACATTGAAATCAAGGTGGATAGTGATACAGCCATCAACAGAGTGAAATGTACACTGGTACCACCTCAAAGGCAAAACCTACACTGGGCACCTTTGAAAGCATTGATCTCTCAAGAGACACATTGACACCGCACTGAGAACTAAAGGGACATTTTGTTGGTTCACTTGATAATGAAGGCTGTCACATCTTATGCCGTTTTATAGCATTGTCAAACTGGCTTACACTACCCCAGTTATCCATTTTACCCCTTAGGAAGGTGAAAAGATTTGAACAGCTTTTCTCCAACTTAAAATGACCTACTACACTTCAAAATTAGTAAAAAATCATTAAACTATAGTCCTTTATGGACTACACTCCACTCCACTGAAATGTAAAACTTATGTAAGAGACCTTATTAAGCATGCCTAAATATGAAAATGTGTTAGTTTGAAATTGCAGACAAAAACCTTACTTTAGTACTTCCTACTAAAAGCTTGATGACTTCAGGTACATTCTGCCAAACACAGGTGTCCCATTGCCATGCATGAACAGTCTTCAGCTCATTTTCTAGATTTTTTCCCTGTCCTTATGTTGTTCTACAGAGTGAAGAGTGGTTGAAGAGCAATGTGATCCCTTTAAGTTTGTGCACAATTTCTATAAACACCATCAGACAGCACTAATCGTGGAAACAATGTCCATCACGTCTCAGGTTCAGATGACATTTCAATGCAACAAGCTGTGATCAGACGCGAAAAGTTCTAGAAAGTCAAGCCACAATTTGCCAGGTTCAAATCGTGTCAGTTTACACATAAATAAAAGACACTACCTGATATTTACATGTAACACTGATCATCATGCCATCCTACTGTCGCTGCTATTGAACTTAGTGGGCGAAACGCGCCAAGGATGTTGTCTGGTTAGCTCACTAGATAGACTGCAACGTTAAATGTTTTTCATCTCCTTTCCATAGCAAATCCAAAAACCATCATCATATCTAACTTTAAACTCACCAATCTTATGTAACGGATACAGATGTCCTTATCCCGCTGCTTTATTCGGACCTCCGCTGTGTGTCCCAATGATGATGAGGTCGAGTTACTTTATTTGTACTACTACCCCTGAATTCTTCTGTTTGGTCCGAAGTCTGTTCGTTTATAAAATAGTCTCAAGTGATCAGAATAAGTTCCCTGTGTGAAAGACAAGGATGAGCAGACGTGTGACTCTTTATCCCTGATATTGGGATGTCGCTAATGTTCTAGTGCAGTTTCGTCACTTCCTGTACTCAACAGCTGAAGGAGATTGTGCGATGTGTCAGCTAATGATTTTGTAATATGGGGGAAAATGTCATAAGACTTCTTGAGGGAAACGGATTCATTTTATATAAGTTTCAGCAGATTTGTGAATTAGCCTATAGAAAGAAGGCAAATATTTAGCCTACATAATCCATTACTGAATTATTGGGATGTCGCTAATGTTCTAGTGCAGTTTCGTCACTTCCTGTACTCAACAGCTGAAGGAGATTGTGCGATGTGTCAGCTAATGATTTTGTAATATGGGGGAAAATGTCATAAGACTTCTTGAGGGAAACGGATTCATTTTATATAAGTTTCAGCAGATTTGTGAATTAGCCTATAGAAAGAAGGCAAATATTTAGCCTACATGATTGATTGATTGATTGATTGATTGATTGATTGATTGATTGTAAAACTAATATCTATCTACATATAATCAATAAAGTGGTCCTGTGGAGTGGAAAGTGAAAGTGCAGCTATGGCAAGCCGTTTTATCTTAAAATATTCCCAGTTGATTGATTGATTGATTGATTGATTGATTGATTGATTGATTGATTGATTGATTGATTGATTGATTGATTGATTGATTGATTGATTGATTGATTGATTGATTGATTGATTGATTGATTGATTGGTTGATTGATTGATTGATTGATTGATTGTAAAACTAATATCTATCTACATATAATCAATAAAGTGGTCCTGTGGAGTGGAAAGTGAAAGTGCAGCTATGGCAAGCCGTTTTATCTTAAAATATTCCCAGCATTAGGGGAGCGCGGGGCACAAAGTAACACAGGGTAAGTTGTAACACATGTGGTTTAAATATTTCCTCACATGCTAGCATAACCAAATTTACAGCGTTTACTAGTTACTATATCAACATTATATAGAGAAAAAAAGTGCACCAAAATTCAAAAGTCTTTTGAAGATATCGCTGAACATTTATTTTTACCATAGTAAAATTATATTTCTGGCTTAAGTAAATTTTTCATCTCAGTTTTTATTACTCATTTAAAATTAGACAAATCTGCTATTATTTTAATCTCCAGTCTGCTATTTATCTGTTTAAATAATTTTTGAATGCTTCGCTAACTATCAGAAGACAGTAACCAGTTTTAAATTCCAGTTGCGCTGATGGGGTATGTTGTAACACTGCGTTACAATATGCCCTGCCGGGCTATTCTATGACATTAGCGATGTAATTCACACTATTTACTTCAATACATTTTAATGATAAACGATGAGAAACAGGTGAATAAAGACTGACAGTCAATGTTTCATGTTAAGAAATTATTATTTCAAGACATGTAAAGCATTTTGGCTCGTTTATGTGGACCGTCCCAAGCATGGTTGCAATGTGTTCATTGTCAAACTCCAAAATCAGATTATTTTTAATTCTTAAAAACCGCCATTATTTTATTTGAAATAAATAATTATTTTATTTTATTGACAAAATATTTTAGTTTGTCTTGTATATTTTGTTTCATTCATTTTCATATCAGATAACATTTTAAGCTGTTATATGGTCATGTTACAACGTGCCCCTCAGCTGTTGCAATGTACCCCACCTACTGGGCATGTTGTCACATTTCACTTCCAATTTTTGAGAGTAAATAAAGAAAAACGTATACACTGTAATCATGAAACAGAGCGACATATTTGTACTAGACAAGTGTGAAATTACTGTGGATAAAAAAATTATACTCTGAACCCCATGTGGATTTACACAAACTGAGAAAGTCAAAAAGTGTTACTCTGTGTCCCCTACTTGTGGTAATTGCATTTTTACTCATAACAATTTTACTAGAAAGAACTGAAGTATAGAGCTATGTAATTTAATTCTTACTAGTAAAAAATGCTATTACAACAAGTAACGCTGGGAACATTTAAAAATAAAACAGCTTGCCATATGCAGCTTCACCTTTGTAGGTGGAGCAAAGGGTGAGGCCAGTAGAGGTGTGACCTGTGACTGGCTGCTGTCACTGGGTGTGTGTCTGAAGCCAGATCTCTCAATGCCCAGACAGTCACCATAACTCCATGTTTAATGAGCTAGGTTCTAGAACAAATCCATATGAGCTTTAGTGATAAAAATGCAAATTATTTAGTGACTGCAATGTGTATTTGCAGTCCTTCAAACGCAATTTTTATTTTTCCCAGAACTATGAAATATTATAGGCACAGGCGGATATGTTTACATGTCCTTCAGAATTCATCCAAATGATTGCATCTTAGTAGACAGGACATGATGCATGCATTGAATTCAGATGTTGCCTTGTTGCCTGTGAAGGTAGGATTCTCGATTCAACGACGGCTGGAGGTTGAAGATAAGGATGATTATTCATGAGACAGTGACTCCTGTGGAAACCATGCGGAAGGGATTTTTGGGATTGAACCACAATCTCTTTAGCAAAACCCATTTTAATACATCATTCTTTAAATTGTCCCAAAGTTTGGTTTTGTTTTTCTCTCTCAAAAAAGCATGTGCTGAAATTTTCTTGATTCACACATTTTGGCAGGAAGCACATATGAGATGGCGAATTGCTCTTGTCCACTCCCCGTGAGTCCATGTTAGAACTGGTTAAGAGAGCATTATGCTATTTCAGACAGATGTCTGAAGTAAATAGTCAGAAGAATGTGTTGGAAAAACATCTCGCAAGGCTGCATTCTATAAAAGAATGTTAGGGAGTGAAATTGCAGCAGAATCCTGTTGGTTACATTCTGTTCCCCTGAGTATTGTACTAATTAAATGGCTTAAAATAATTAGATAACTATTTTTATTCTTATTTGAAATGCTTTATTATGTTAATTGATCTTATTACGCTATACTTGTGGAAACACTTATAAATCTAATAACATTTCATATTTGAACAGGGGCTTAACATACAGTACAAACAATAAAAATTACAAAATCTCCAAGCTGCATAGGAATCTGCAAGAGTGAATAAAGCATTCAACTATCGTGACAGTGTAATGTAAAACCTGTAGGTGTTCCAGCTACAGCTTTAAAGCTGTAAGCTATTGGCCAGCAGAGTGTGAAATTTCTTTCTTTCCTGATCATGCATTCAGTGTCCATTTAACCACGCTATTAGAATCACTGATATTGGAAAAAGGCACATATTGGTATTATCTCGCTGGTTAATAGTGCACTTAATAATACCAATATGTGCCTTTTTCCAATAAGTGCACTATTAACCAGCGAGATAATACCAATATGTGCCTTTTTCCAATATCAATGATTCAATTAGACTCTTATCTTGTAATAACAGAGGTCTTGGTTTATAAATGCTGCATATCAAAACTTTTACAAAATCATTTATTTTTAGTTGTGTCAAAAAACCTCCACAGGGAGGCACCCTTGGTCTTCTAATGATGTAGTAAACGAATTTCTCTGTTCATCTTTATAGGCTTTATATGTTTATGATACATTAGAAATTATGTTAACAGTAATCATCTTGCTTTCATCTTTTTGAACAAACTGTACAACTAAAAAGTTAATATATAATCAATCCAGGTTATATGTTATTTATATTTGTGACCGTATTATATATTTGCATACTTTTACAGAAAAACAATCTGAACACTGGATAAAGCTTGGTTCATATTTCTTGTTTATTTTGTAGACAAATTAGAGTCCAAGGTTTTTGCAGAGGGGATTTAGGATATCCCTTTTATCACTCCATAAATCAGAAAATACTGTCACTTCCAGAATCAAATAAGTATATTTCCACCATTTTTATGAATGAGATGTATAATTATATATATGAGCAAACCCATCTGTAAAAACCTTCAGAATATGGATAGGAATAAAACTGTAAAGTTTATGTAAATGCTACTGAAGTGGGGGTTTCTACATTGACAAAGACAAATTATATATTTAAATTAAATTATATATTTAATACGTTTTACAAAATTTCTTTAACACAATTCATGACAATCTACATTCAAATTTTTCCCTCCCTTTAAAAGAAGCAATCAGACGCTGTAAAACGTAAAGGGTTTTATAAAACCCATTAATTATTCCTAATGAATTCTCTGAAATGAAATCTTTAAGCTTTCATATTCTGGTGTGAAATGACTTGACCCTAAGTGCAATAATAACATTTCTAAAAGCTATATAAAATACCTTTGGTATATCTTCGCACGTGGATGTGATTGATGGTCAGAGGCATTAAGTTTGAGCTATAATCCATTATGAGGTAATATGCCCAAATAAATCTTCCCATAATTAAGGCCAATCCTTCATAGCTATAGGACAAGTTGGTTTTTTAAGACCCAATTACCCCCGTCTGAGATTGCTGTTAAAATGCTGGAGATTTGGTCAGAGATGGAGGAGTTTAGAGGAGGAGGGTGAGACTGAGGCTGGGAGAAAATATGGAGATGATCCAAAGAGGAATAAAAAGTTCCCCCTGCTCTCCAGCCATCTCTTGCTCTCATAGCAGGACCCCATTAGATTTATGTCAAACGCACACACCAGTAATTTATGTTCTACCGATAATGCATCTGTGGTCCCGATTAGCCTCCTTTCTTGTTCCATCACTGCATGTTTCTTTAATTATATGTCAAAGGCCATAAAACTCCAAATGAAAATCTCATCCCAGTTTTTTCTTAAATATTCAATTTCAACAAAAGATGCTGATATCTCCAGTGCAAATAAAAACTCAAAACATATTTAATCATTGTCATACACTCTGATACTTAGACTGAACACCGGTCAAAAATCATTCAGGGCACATACACTTAAAGTAGGTAAATATACATCTTTACACAAACTTTGCTTGTCCTTTCTCATCATCAACATCAAGACAAACTCTACACATCAGTGTTTGTAAACAATCAGATATTCAGCACCTGTGTGAAGTCATATATTCTCATTTAACAGATGTTGGGAGACAGGTTATTACTGACGAGGTGAAGACAAGAGAAATTAAAAGTCTTGTACAAATGCTGTGAACATTAAAAGATGTAGACATATACATATTCACATATCCATCATCATCAGCTCTCTGCCAGCCAAC